AACCAACACCTACTATAGGAAAAAGGATAGTCATTTAATAACATACGAAAGTGGTACATGGAAAACACAGATAGATTACATACTAATCTCTCGCAGAAGATTAAAAGATGTAATAGACTGCAAAGTCATCCCAGGAGAAGATATCGCCACACAACACAAGCTACTAGTCATGGATTTACACATCTCAAATAAATCCACTCAAATTAAGATGAAACTTGAACCATGCATCAAATGGGGCAAATTAAAAACAATGACAGATGCCTTTGCAATCAATGCAAACATTGAAACAATAGATTCCTCACAAGTCAGTGAAAAAATGTGGACAGACCTTTCATCCAGATTAATAGACACTGCCAAATCGACACTAGGCTTGACAAGAGGAGGCAACAAATCATACAAAGAACTATGGTGGTGGAATGAAGAGGTACAAACCACTATACAGGAGAAAAAAGCCCTTTATAAAATATGGTACAAATCCAAAAACGCAGATGACAAGACAAGATACAAAAAATCCAAGAGATTAGCTACAAAGGCGGTGGCTAGAGCCAAATCTATGGCATACGATGACATGTACGAAGATCTACATACCAAAGAAGGGCAAAATAAAATATACAGATTAGCCAAACAGCGAGAAAGGAACTCTAGGGATATAAACGGAGCTCCGAAAGTAATCAAAAATAAAGATTGGAAATTGATAATAAAGGAAAAAAAAATAATGAGTAGATGGAGAGAATATTTTCAGGAGCTTCTCAACTTTAATCCGCACATACTGCATCTAGACGAACACTCCCCTTGTCAAAACCTTGTACAACCTATAACACAACAAGAAATAATCACATGCCTCAAGCATATGAAAAACAACAAAGCTAGGGGTCCAGACGATATTCCAATAGAAAGCCTTAAAGCACTAGGAGATGATGGAATACATCTCCTCACAAATCTATACAATAAGATACTTGGAAATGAAGAGGTTCCCCAAAAATGGAGGCAGAGCTATCTAGTTCCTATCTTCAAAAATAAAGGGGATCCACATAATTGTCAAAATTTAAAACTAATGTCACACTGTCTAAAACTATACGAAAAAATAATAGAAAAAATAAGAGATATAATCGAAATAGGAGAGACTCAGTTTGGCTTTATGCCTGGAAGATCAACAACCGATGCTATCCACGCAATTAGGCAAATGAGTGAAAAATACAGGGAAAAGAACAAAAAGCTACACATGGTCTTTCTCGATCTAGAAAAGGCCTTTGTTAGAATCCCAAGAAAACTTATCTGGTGGGCGCTACGCCACAAAAATGTTCCCGAAAAATATATAAGAATAATACAGGATATGTATATGTGCCATATAACAATGGTCCGTAGCACAATAGGTACTTCAGCAGGCTTCACAATAGCCGAAGGAGTTCATCAAGGGTCGGCTCTCAGCCCACTTCTCTTTATTACAGTAATAGATGTATTAGCACAGTCTATACCTCAAACAGTCCCGTGGAATATGATATTTGCAGATGATATTGTGATACTTGCCGAATCTAAGGATGAAATGAAAGAAAGACTAGTGAGTTGGATAAATATCCTAGAAACGCATGGATTAAAAGTAAATAGAGAAAAGACTGAGTATATGGTGATAGGAGGAGATGAAACAGAGTATTTATATAAATGAATGGCAGATATCGGCAATTGAAAGCTGCAAATATTTGGGCTCCACTATACAAACAAACGGCACAATAGAAAAAGAGATAAAGAGTAAATTTAATCAAGGGTGGCTAAAGTGGAGATCTTTATCTGGAGTGCTATTTGATAAAAGAATCCCATACAAATTAAAGGGAAAAATTTACAGTTCCATAATACAACCAACTATTCTATATAGTTCGGAAACATGGCCAACCAAAGAATCAGACGAGAGAAGTCTACAAACCATGGAGATAAGAATGCTGAGGATGATTGCTGGGGTAACAAGAAAGGATAAAGTGCGCAGTACAAGAATACTAAGTAGTTTAAAGGTAGTGCCCATTAAGACTAAGTTAATGGTAAACAGACTTAGGTGGTATGGGCACACAATGAGAAGGCCTATGAACTACATAGGAAATAAAGTTAAGAGTTTGGAAGTGATGGGCAAACGTAAAAGAGGAAGGCCAAAACTTCAATGGGGCCATAAAGTTAGAGCCAATATAAAGAAGTATAAATTAGATAAAAGAGATTGTATTAATATCATAAAGTGGAGAGAGATGTTGAAGGAGCTTACCACCAGAAAAGATGAAAGCTAAAGAGAAAAAAAAAATTGTGATTAAAGAAGTTAACGATACAAATATTAAAGAAAACTATAAAATTAAAAAACTCTTATAAGCAATACTAAATGTGATAAAAAAGAATTGAAACTTAAAACTTTGAAGACAAATAAAAGTATCATTAAGAGAAATTATGTAAAAACTAAACGTTTTCATTTAGAAAAATATTTAAAGATGTGATGAGGAGATCATTTCCTAAATATTTGAGGCCTAAGAAATTATTTTTTACTAAAAGCAATCTAATGAAGAATTATTATTTTAAAAGATTTTTTAAATTAAACAAAGGTGTAATATTTAAACTTTAAAATAAAGAGAGGGAAGTGTGCATAATATTCTACCTGCACATTTTAAACCTCGTGGAAATAATTATTAATATATATATAAATAAAAATCGATATACATACATAAAAATTATATAAAACGCTAAATATAATAATAATAAACGCCAAACTAAAACGCGAATCACATATCAATTATTCTATTTGAATATTATTCTATTATTCCAATTTTATCATTCTTATTCAATAATTCCTATTCAATTCGATATTCTACTAATACATTCTATATTCCAATTCCATTCTTTTTATTTGACATTGAACAGAACGGGATCAAGGATAGAAGAGAGAGGAGAAGGATAGAAGAGAGAGGAGAACGTATAAAAACAACAAAGGATTGGAAGCGAGTTCCACGACGACTGCGAGGAACACAGAAAGATTGAAGAAAGAACAGAAGGGGGAATGTTAATACATTCGAAATTTATTTTAAATAATATTAATCTACGAACTTGTTATATTATTTCTTTCACTTAACATAATATTAATCTAATAGTTACATTGATTGTTATTTACTTTTGAAAGTATATATATATAGAATTTATTAGGTTAATAGTCAGTTATATTTTATAATAAAAAAATTTTAAATAAAGTATTTTTGTATCAACATCTTTTTAAACACTTACACCATATTAGCATATATAATAATTATGTCTAATTAAGTTATTAAAAATTATAAATTTTTAAATTGATGAATGGTTAAAGTATTGAAATAAGAATTTTAATGTTCTAGATAAATAAGATATTGATTTATAAATTAATTAAATAGATGATTAGTTAATTTTATATTGAAACAAGCATGTTTAACATACAGATAATAATTTATAAAATAAATATAATCATTAAATAGATGAATCTGATGATAAATTTAGATGCTAATATTTGGTGCGTAACTAGGTTTTTAAAAAGAAATATTAACAGACTCTTTTACAAGTATTTTATATTATAATATTTCATATTTATAATAAAATTCTTAAATAATATATTATGGCCAGTTAACAAATATTATATGGTCATTTAAAACATACTATGTTTTGACTGTCCATAAAATTAACTTTCACATAAACTCACCTAGCTCAAAAACTATGATATACAGGGCTTTAATTCAAATTTTATTTTAAAGATTAAGGATTGGGCTACACATATATTTTTTTGATTAAATAATTCTTAATCCTTATTTTTGAAAAAAGCAAAATCACGGCCAGTTATTCCATTTTTAATCATTAATAATTTAAATATAAAAATTATATTAAATTTTGTTAATTATATACTAGTATTTATAATAATAAAATTTGAAATTTTTTTAGAGTACATATTTTCCCCATATTATATTTTTATAATATATATTGTGCTATAATTACATAGTAAACATCATAATTTACATAGTAATGGATGCTCCCCTCAGTGATCATTAAAGAATGTATAAAAAAATAAATAGAACAATTTATATTAGTCTAAAAAACAGATATATTCTTATTTATTTTTGCACTAATACACAATATAAAACCAATAAATATTAATATGGTATCTAAGGTAAATTATAATAAATGCTTGCACGATAAAAAGAAATGAAAAATAGTTTAACTAAAATATAATTTACTAAAAAAATTATCATTTTGATATTGTTATTTGAAGTATATAAATTATAAAAGGAAATGGGTATTAAATTATATTGCACTCTTTTACGTATGGTTTTGGTTTTTCAAAAAAAAATGAGTCTTAGGATAAAAATTAATATATTTTTCTTTCATAAAAAAATCTTTTGTTTAATCGATGGGAGCTTAAGTTAAGATCTCCCGAAATTTGCACCATCTAGATTATAATGTTTTAACTATTTTCTAACTATAAATACAAAAGCTTTATTTTTTACAAATCTAAATAAAAGGATGTAAAACTTCCCTAAATTAAAATTGTCATTATTTATTTTTTTGGATTAATTTTTTTTTTTAAATCATGCCTGAGTTGCAAAGTAATAAGTTCAAATGATAAATTATTGAACAATCATTTTTTTTAGAAAAAATAGGAGGAGGAAATAAAATTGCCATAAAAAGGGACTTATTAATATTCATTGCACAAAAATTGTTTTTTTTTAAAAAAAAATATTGTTTTAATAAATGTAAAGAGTATTTATTTATGAAGAAAAAAAAATTTTTTTTCCCTTATTTTACGAATAACGATTATAGTTGGACTACAAAATGACAAAAATAAAATTATAACTTTGACGAAAGGACAAATATACAAACAATAAAATAATGCCTTAATGTAATATATTAAATATAATATGAAATTTTTGTTAGATTTTTAAAAGAAATTTTATTAAATATTTTAGTTCATTTAAATATATATATAATTTAAGGTAATTTCAAATATTTTTGCGATTATAAGTATAAAAATGTCGAATTATCTAAGTTTTTTTTTAGAAATCAAAAAATAAAATTGGAATGTAATGGATATTTAAATTTATTTTATTTTTTATAGAGGAATGATTAAAGTGTGTATTGTACTCATCTTTGAATTTGGGTATATATATGATTTTTTCCTCTTCTCTCAGCTGATAAATATATTAAGTTAAATATAATCGTGGTAATTCAATAGGTCAGTTCAATAGCCGTAATTCTGCGGTTGTTATTATTAAAATTTTTCAATTGATCATGCATACGGTTTATATCGTTAGAGTTTTCGCGTGAGGCATTAGGTGGGTCTATTTCGCTAGAATCCCCGAGGGTTGATTGTGATTTGTCGATATTTTTATCGGTACTGGCATCGCCCGTATTTTCGGAAAATTTATTGGCACCGCATTGTTGAGCTTCCTTTGTAGTCGTACTTATTTTTTCTCCGTCCCCCTCCCTGTAATATTGCGAAGCTGCAATCCGCTTTCCATCCTTATCGGCGGGGTCATATGTGTTTTCAAAGTCCATTTCATCCTTGATATCGCTCCTTAAAATGTCTTCATCGCATAATCTTATTAATTTTTAGAGCATTTGTGTTGTTGGTTTAGGATAGCATAATAATTATTGACACTTATTAATAATGATGTTTATTAAATCAATATAATACAGAAAGATTCAAAATCAATCAGTATAACTAATATCGATTCAAAATAGATAGACTGTACAACACCCCCCCCCCCCAACCTTATTTTTTCCTGATGAAATCATATATTTAAAATTCATCGAGAAACATGTAAAATGTAAGATTTTTGGAACCAAAAAACAAAAGTTTAATGGCGGTGAAAGAGTATACATGGAACTCAACGTTATAACTGAGCTATAATCTGTAAATATATATATTTTTAAAGAAATACACTCATGCGAAAATTTTATTAAAGATCTGCGAAGTGACCCGAACTACCAATTTAAATTTTTTATCCTGTTTTTTCTGACCGGCCAGTATATTTACCTCCTCGGCCAGTAAAATATATTATGACAAGTTGTGCGGCATGGTTATTAATAATTTTATATGAAGGATAAACTTGTATAATTATCAGTTTTTAAAACATTTCTATGAGGAGTTCGGCCCAGCCCGTAAAAATATTTTGTATAATTGTCCGGCCCAAAAATCTTCGCGTTTCGAGGCGGGCTAAGCCTAATTTCTATAAATCAGCTGAGTATATAACGTAACTGTTAATATTTAATAATTTTAAAGTAAGAAGTTATAATAAAGAAAAATCAAACCTTTCGGCTCCAGTGGCGCTCATGTATTCATTGTTTTCATTCTGTCCAATATCAGTACCAAGATTTTTGTTGTTTGCAGCAAGATTGTTGTTACCATTACCGTTTTGTGGTTCCGAACAGAAAGTTGTGCTACTCACGACTCCCACTTCCATATCCTCGGTACCGCTACTATCGTTAAATTCGTCTTTGAGACCTTTGTTAGAAGTAATATTAGAAATAAATTTGCATTAAAATATGAGACACTCTTGAAATTTTAGATATTTTTTAACTTATCTAAACTTTTGTCCTTTACCATTTTATAAATAAATCAATTAGATAATTATACAGTATGCACCGAACTCTCAGAACACAATTATGACAACTCATTCTTCTATATAACTTTTGTATATAAATCTCGCATTTCTTATACTTGAAGACTAAAATTCCAGATCACAATACTCTGATCTAACTTTTCCTTGTATAAAACATAAATTGCGTATAAAAATATTAGGCTTTATTATTATAAATTATAACACTAGATCATAACTTTGTTTTAATTGATTTTCATATAAACATCTTATAAAAAGATATATCTTATCCTTATAGACTGAACCTACAGATTACACCTCCTCATTATTATATTCAATTTGAGAGCCAAGCAAAAAAAAGACTCTTACAAGGGAAACTGTTGTTAGAGGTGTAATTGGCATTGATTGCTGATGAAGTCTTGTTGAGAGAAGATCTATTTGATCTCCTTGACGAGGAATTACGGTCATGAATTTTGTTGTTGGCATTAGAGCCCTCCAACGTTGATCTTCTGCCTACATTGATATGACTATTACGGTTAATTGCTCTCTTGTGTGAAGAGGAAAGGTGTTGGCTAGAAGATGATAAAGAGGAGGAGTTTGCTTTTTTGTTGGTGGTATGATGGTTGCTAGATATTTGACAGGTGTACACTTCATCGTCCATCAGATAATCGTTTACCTCGTCCATTTCGTTAAATTTGTCATATTTTTCGTCCATAAAGCTGTCCCTTAAATCTACGTCTTCTTCGAAATCTTCGTCACCCGCATTGCTCTGACAATAAAGACTACCCGTACTACTGCTGCATCTATCGTCCCGCCATTTATCCAGACTCCTACGTCTTGCGTTCATAAAAAAATTACCAACCGTACTTAAATCTAGACCTAATTGTTGGGCTATGGTGCTTTGCATTTCTTTCGAGGGACGTTTAGTTTCTTTGAAAATCGCCTTAGATATTTTTAAAAAAATTTAGCTTTTTTTATTATATTTTATACCATAATTAATTGTAAATAAAAATAATTTTATTATTAAGATTTTAACTTCTAATGTTCATTTTATACAAATGATGATAAAATATAGAAAACCTTGAAAACATTTTTACTCTTTTTGCAAAACAAAATAAATGCAAAATATTATAAAAAAGTAAAAAATAGTTTATTCACACTTGTAATGTTCGTCTTTGTATATCGGTAAATACCAAGCGCGGTTTTTTATGACCATTACTACTATTACTGCTTTCAGATGAGGCTACATTAGGTGGTATGTTAAGTATTTGATGTTCAGGAATAGGCTCCGGTATGAAAGTTAACTTGTCTTCTTTCTTTTTCGAAACTATCGTTGATAATAAAATAGTTTAAGAGTGATGAAGGTAATCATGGGGGTCCCCCCTTTGCTAAATTTTGCAAGTTTAGTATACTATATATAGCTAATAAAATGAGCTCATACATTTTTCCGCCACCTCTTGACGAAAAAACATGTCATTACAATAATTTAAAAAAATATGACCTGCAAAAAATCATGCATAAAACCCAATAGATTTTATAATGGAAAACTACATAAAAGTCTCCCTTTAGGAAAGTTTCCGACATGTCTATGAGTAATGTTGTTATTTAGATTAAAGAGAAAGAGATTATAAATATATCGACTTATTATCTCAAATAGTCCCCGAAGCTTCGAAATATTTAATGATGTGAGGGGGGGGGGTGAAGAGTATTAAATTTTTTTTGTTTAAATGATATATGGCTTTTTTTAGTCAAAAAGTATCAATTTTCAACATATGATGTCCTTTTCTAATCTTGTTCGCCTGGCTAAGAGATCACTTTGTTTTTTAAAAAAAGTCATGTGGAATGTGTTTAAAATAAGCTACTTTATTTATATCTTAGGTTATACTAATGACTCTAGATTAACCAATCATTATAAAAGCATAATTATAGGAATTTTATAAATATTTTATATTATAATACTAGGAGTATTATTTTTCATTCAAATACAATAATACATAATTAAAAATAACAATGAATAATAATAATATATATTTTTGAAAACACTGAATAATTTTTTTTAATTATATAAAAAAAATGAGAGGGGAGGGGGGTAAATCGAAATCAGAACAAGGACGCGTTATCATTTTGTAACAAAAAAATCGTTTCTTTAATTGGAAAATACCATTATATTTTGTATTTTATATATTTTTTTGATAAATAGAGATGGGTAAAATCATGAAAAACAGTAGGTTTAATTCAACTTTAGATAAAATAATTCTGGATTTAAGGTTGGTGTCTAAAATTTTTTAAAGGGCGTCCAAATTGCGCGCTAGCGTTTATTTTAAAGACGTGCCCATGCCTAGAGAACTGCACGGGCTGTCGGTAGCCCGACCCGACCCAAGCCTCGGGTCGGGTTCGGACATCAAAAAAAAATTTCTCGGGTTCGGGCTCGGGTCGGGTTGTAAAAGCTGTCCGACCCGAAAACCCGACCCGACCCGAAAATATATATAATAATATTAATATCTTAAATAGTTAGTATAATTTATAATATTAATTATAAAATCATATTATTTAATATTTATCACATTTTAGGATTAAAATGTCAATCATATTAACATGTCATGTCATTATTAATTATTATTTTATAAACCTAACAACCGGATACCAAACTATTTTATTACTAAATTGTGTTTCTCGTAAATTACAAGATAAGACATATTTTATGTAAGTTTTATTTATTATTTAACTAGCCTATACATTGTCTTTTTTAACATTTGTTTTAACCCTTCACTACAAAGGTAGAAAAAACTCCCTTAACTACAAAGGTGGGGTCTATTTTACCCCAAATTTTGATTAGATATATCTCAAAACATATTAAAAATTGAGATCTAAAATTTTGAGTATATATTTAAAAAATATTGGAGATAATAAATACAAAATCTTAGATTAATATTTACTTCCAAAAAAAAGTTAGACAAATTTTCCTAAAATTACTGAAATAAAATTTTCTTTTTCAGTACTTCCTTTAATTATTTTATTATCACTAAATAAAATTCAAAAAATTCAAATTTTATTAAATCAATGTTGAATAATGATAATTACATAAATTTTATAAAAAAATATCATATATCAAAAAAAATATTAATCATCAAATATGTAAAATTATTAAAAAATAATAATGTAAATATATATCTTAATATTATTATTGAATATTTTTTTCTTAAGAAACTACAGAGGTGGTAGATACGTTTTTGGACTTCTCTCTATGGGAGGCTGACAATGCGTATTCTGATGCTAACGCCGAAGTTGACGAGCTAAAAAAATATCTAGATCCGAAATTATGTGTTGATGACGATAATATTTTAAAATGGTGGAAAACAAACCATTATGAGTTTCCAAATTTAAGTATTTTAGCTCTTAAATTCCTGGCTATCCCTGCTTCGTCGGCTAGCAGTGAAAGGGCGTTTTCAGCTGCTGGTAGGGCCTTTGAGGAGAGAAGGACTCGTTTAAAGCCAGATAAACTGGACGCCTCTTTATTTATATATCATAATTATTCACTTTGTGATAATTTTGATAATGATATTGATGAGGTCAATATATAATATAATATGTTCATTATATTTTTTATATATTTATTAACTTTTACATCATATCTATATTCGCATAAATGATGCTTATTATATAATCGTTATAATTTTTAAATTCGCTTGTATATTAATCGTTTTATAATATTTTTTACAAATTTTAAAAATGCAACTTAATATATATCTTGAATAGATTATGGCCGTCAAATAAACTTTTATTTAAGGTGGCTGAACTGAATAAATACACATAAATTTTTTTTTGGTTATTATAATATCAAAACTTAAATTGCAAAATTTTATTCGGGTCGGGCTCGGGTCGGGTTGGATTAAAAAATGTGTTCTCGGACTCGGACAAAAAAAAATTTTAAATTCGGGCTCGGGTCGGGCTCGGGTTGCGAAAAAATTACTTTGCAGTTCTCTACCCATGCCTATTCAAATTAGGCTGTTAATTTTATATTTATTTTTTGTAAGTGCAACCAACAAAATAAAAATTTCTTCCAATTAAGAGAAATTTGCAAAATATATACCAATTATAATATCCAAATCTTTACAAAATAATTACAATAGTATATATAAGGAGTTCCAAATAATTAATATTTTATTTAATAGAGATACCTAATTCAAACCATGATCATTGTGCAACCTCCACAATAATATTTTTGATGTATGAATGCAAAAGGTTTAAGAATAAATGGCTTAAAATTTTATTGTGTCTGATTTAAGTCTTTATAGCTCTTATATTAGCTACAATATAAATCAGAGACCTGCAAAGGTAACATTTGCACGACTCAGCCCGAATTCTTTTTCGGCCAGGCCCGGATTTTATATTTTCAGGCCCGGCGAGGTTAGGTCCAAAAATTTTCAGGTTATGCACGGATTTTTTTTTTTAATTTTCAGGTCCGGCCCGGATTTTTTTAAAATATATTATATTTAATTTTTATAGCTTATAATGGCATATACGGCCCGGCTATATGTTAAAAAAAATTTTTACGATCGGCCCGGGTATATTTAATAAAATTAAAATACAGCCCGGGCCTGCAGGTCTCTGATATATATTAATATAAAAAATGATTACTAATATCTTGTATACAAGAAATAATGGCTATAAATAATCTGCGAAAACAAAACAGCCTGAATAAATTAAAATAAGAAGCGTATCATTTATGTTGTTTGCATCATGCTTAATATCGAAAATCATTTTTTAAAAAAAAAAATTAATTTCAGAAAATATATAAAAATATAAACAATAGTCTCAATTTCATTTTAAGAAAATTGTAAATCAAATTGGGAAAGTTTCCAATCATATTTGAAAGAGTGTTTTTTTTCTTTGATTGCAGATTTTTAAAAAAATGAAAGGAAAGATAAATTTCAAAACTTTTTAATATTAGTTTAAATTTTTTTTTATATAAAGTGTATATGTGGCATCTTGTGGATAAATTTACATAATATATTTTACACAAAACATTGATAAAACAAAATATAAATTAAATATTCAATTTGTTATAAGCCTAATATTAGCATAATTTTAAAGGCAACCCAAAACTCTATTATTACAAAATAAAGTTAAAATTAATTTTAATAAGTAATTCATTCAAACTTTAGACGAAAAAGAGTATTAATTTTTATAAAAATATCATATTTACTATACCTTATTATGCATTTTTTATGTTTTTAAGTATAATTTTCTAAAAATATAATCGATTTCTAATTATAAAGATTTTATAATGACCTTTGTTTTAAATTCGCTTTTACTAAAATAATATTTAAAAAATAAAAATAACTTTTTATAAAAACAATCAAGAATTTGCTTTCCTTTAACTTTTTAAAATACTCTTAGAATTTTTGTTCTAGAATATTTTCTATATACAAATATTCACATTTTAAAGGGAAATGATGTCTGTCGTAAATAATTTCAAACTCTTTTCGCGTCCAGAACTTTAGATGGCTAAATATTTTTCGTTTCAAAGTGGTCAATATTAAAAAAAAATGCTTTAGTTCAACAAATAAATCAGCGTTTATATTTTTAAAATCCTCATTTTTTTAAAATTTATTAAAAGAGAAGGAGCGTTAAGTTTAATAAAAGATAGAATAAAATGATAAATTTGAGGATTTCAGAATTTTGTAAAAACTACGAGTGCATAAATTATATAGGGAGATAAGGCAAACGTCTATAATTTTTTTATCTTTAGAGCCAATTGTTTCAATTTTGTCAAGATTTTTATTTACACTAACTAACATATATTCACATAGTAGTGGGAGCTCCGTATTTAAAAGATATTGAGCAAAAACAACTTTTAAGCCCCTTTTCACCAACTTTTTTTAAAAATATTTTTACTTTGAGGCAAAGGTACTTTCGAATTTTATAAGATTTATATGTCACATTTCACAATATCTAAGCTACGATTAGACTAGGTCTGGGGTTTCTGGCTCATTAGAGCCATATAAGCCAACTTATTAGAGGCATTAATTTCACAGGGCACCGACCCCACAAAATATTTTAAGTGTGTTATCTACCTATGAAATCTACCAACTAAACCCTATTATGTTTACCAATTATTTTTGTAATGATCGCTCTAGAGATGCTACTATTTTGGATTGCGTTATTCCTGATAACCAAACCGCTAATTTAAGTTTCAAAACAACTTATGAGTATATAGCGGATTCACTATCTAAAGATAAGATAACAGACACTTCTGTCACTAATTTTAATGAATTAAATTTCCTATTTTACTAAATCCATTTTATTTGTGACTTTATTGCAAAGACAATTTTCTTTAAATATTTATAAATTTGTTTTTATTTATTATTTTATTTAAATCAATATAAATATAAATAAATAAAAACGTTTTGTAGGTTAAATTTGATAATTGTTATCTTACAAAAGGACTTGCCACCTTACCCAAGTTAGCGTAAATAGTAAAAAGCACGAATTTTACTTACTCTTGTAATAAAAATGGGATGGCCCTGTTTTTAAATTTATTTTATAGTCTAATGACGAGGATACAGACAATGATAAAACTAATTTAATCATAAAATAAAAGTAAAAGTTTATGACAAAACATCTTAAATATAACCCAGGTCTCCCCTACCTATCAGAGACCTTCAGAGCAGTAGCGTCACTAGGGGAGAGGTGCACAAGGACTTGAGTCCCCTGAAAAATTCCAAGAGCCTCCTAAAAATTTTGATTTTTTTTATACCAAAAAAATGTCAATTTGAAATTTTTATCAGTCATTTCTAAATATATTAGCTAAAAACATTCAGATAATTTTTTAAATTTTTTTTGAGTCCCATGAGATTGGAAAGGCTAGTGACGCCATTGTTTCATACAGAGGTCAAAATTTTAGGTCAGAACAGGATTTTTAAAAAAATTTCCGCCTGTTTTGGATTTTTAAAAAATATGGCCTGTCCTGAATATTATAAATTTTATATTCGGGCTGAATTTTTAAAATTTTTATCTTTAACGACCTAATATTTTCACAATTGTCATTATTTTGTAATTTGTTTCAAAAAGTGAATTGAATATATATGAGCGATAAATAAAGGTTAAACCACCTCTTATATGATTTTCCAATATTTTTTAACTAATTAAAATTAATATATATGTATTATTTAAATTTATATTATTTTAAAATAGGAAATATTTGTAAACCAGATCCGGGGTTTTAAAATTCTACGACCAAACGGGCCTTTAGGTCTCTTTAATGTTATTACAAATTAACACTATACTAATTAACATTATAAATAGAGAAAATAGGTCGAGAAAATTGATATATAAAAAAATCCATACGGGATAAATTTATTTATTAATATTTGTTTTTATTTAAACATCTGAAATTAATTAACCTAAAAAATAATATTGGATCTAAAAAGAGTTCAATATATTTTAGCAATAATATAATATATTTCAAAAATGTGTTTATACAATGGTAAAATTATAATATAATATTTAGTATTACAAAAAAAATTTTTAAATGATGGACTTTTCAAGGTAGATTGGTCTTTAAAATGAAATTTATCATGCTATTACTTCAACTAATTAATAATAAATATATTAGGATATAATTAATAATAAAAACTTTAAAACTTTTTAATAGTTTAGTAATAGCGCGCTATATAATTTTAGTTTTAAAGATTTGCTAAAAACCGGTGTCAATGAAACATAATAACCCTGCATTTTCTAAACCCCTATATCAGAGAGCTGCATGCTCGACCTGGCCCAGGTACACGGGTCGGGCCATATTTTATTTTTTTACTAATTGAACGGAATAAATTAAATCGGCATTATTAGCTATAAAATTAAAAATAAATGTAATATATTTTAAAAACATCCGGGCCGGGCCATCTCTGCCCTATATATTATATTTATAATAATATTTAATATAAATCATTCTATTTGATATGATAAAGTATGCTTATAATTTTTAAAAATATCGAAACAATTTGTTATATTATATAATTATTTTGATAAGTAGTCGCTAGACAAACTTGTCTAAAATATTTCTTATTACTCAAAACGCTTCTCTGAGCATATCTAAATATAAATTGCTTTTTTCGCAAGCTAAATTGTACAACTAGCGATAGAGCCAGGATAGAAATTCAAGAAAGTTAAAAATTAGTACGACGGGACAATGTAAGACAGGGAAATAAAAAAATTATCAAAAAAGGTTCAAATATATCATATTTATCAATCATATAATTATACCTTTATTTCGAATCGTAATATCGTTCTTCCCAACAGCTAGAATTTTTATTTTATGTTAAAATGTTTATTGGCTAAATTAATCATTCAAAAGATTGTAATAAAAGTTATAATACCCATCAAAAGAATATAGTGACTATGAAATCTAGAGCAAAAAGAAATCCAAAAGGATTAAATAGATTTTTTTAGGAACCAAATTAATTCCATACGCCCTTCTCTCTTAATAAAAGCTTGTAACAATATCTGCCACAAAAAAACATAGCATTGAATTTAAAATTTAAAGAGATTTAAATAGGCACACTGTTACTCCAAAATTTTTTGAAAAAGCATAGTATAATAATATAAGTTCTTAAGAATTTTATGAGTCTAAAAAAATCGCAATAATACCCCCCCCCCCCACCATTCATACATCCAAATACATTAGATATCGTGTAGTATGGTATGGTTAAACTGAGTATTCAGTAAAAAAGAGTGTGATATATAAATATTTTAAATAAATGTAATATTTATGAATTTAATTTATAAACTGATTTAAACTTGAAACATCCGTATTTTTCCTAGACTCAAATGAATTACATTAAGTAAACATTATTTGTTAAATAAACAAGAGCAATTTACTCCATTTAATATCTATCATTTGAGTATCATTGTACGGAATTTTTTTTATAATAATCGTATCAGATAAAAGTTCACATTAACATAAGCAAGGTTAGTAATAAATACACAAGAAATGATTTGGTTAATGGAATTATATTATTAGTGACATAATAATAATAATACTAAGACTCATTCCCACTTCTAGGCGAATGAAGAAGAAATTTATAACTCGTTATGCCAACTGATATGAAGTTTTAGACATTATTTTGATTCATCCAATTTATATTTAAGTTTTAAATAATTCATATATATTCCTCACAAGAATAAACATTAGAAAATGCATTTTGAATCGTATCAAAAATGCAAAATAAATTATTTATATAATAATAATTGAGGAGAGTCATTCTCATCTACAAATCTCGGTTTTCATTTAAAAAATTTTTTTTTGCTGCTTTTACAACTTTATCACAGGCGCGTACGCAGCGGGGGGGGCAGAAGGCAAACCCCCCCCCCTCCCCCCCCCAAGCCAAAAAATACAGATACCGGTTTTTCAAAAATATTATTGTTTATATTAATTTATATTTGTTAATATTTATTCCTATCTCATATTAAATATATATTTAATTACATTTATTATCACATTCAACACTGTTTATCAATTAATTTCGATTTCAAGTTTTCCGGCGTAATATTATCTTATTATTTTCAAATTTTTAGTGGAGTAATATTTATCTTCCATTTTCAAATTTCTAGTCAAATAATAATTATTCTGAAATTGTCCAACATGGAGAAAGAAATTGCAACCTTATCCAACGTGATAGAGTCTCCGCCATCAAGCAGTAACAGCTTTTATGGAGTTAGAAGAGCCGATTATTTGCTATTACTGAAATATCACAATGGCCTGAAAGAAATATTTCCTCAGAAGCAAGAAAATTATTGGATTCAATGCTTATTCCATATTTTTTTTCTCATTAGAATGTATTATTTAATTATACAACTATTTTATGTATTACTTTTCAAAAACATGACATTGACTTGATTAAGAAGAAGAGATTAGTGGAGAGCATTTTATTAGAATTCAAAGAAATTAGGGCTAATGTTGATGAAGAATTTCATATTTTATATGTTATTGTTAAGTCAAAAAGAGCGTTTATCATTAAACTTAAACTATATTTAGAGGTTTCACACACAATCTGAGCAATTAACCTAATACGGAATAAAACGTTTATTTATTGTGTATATTAATTAGGGAAATTGTTTCCTATCATAAGCCTGCGAGCTGCAGTCTTTTTTTACAAAAATATATAATATTTTAATTAATTTAAGGGTTCAAATTAGACAGGTTTTACAGTATTAGCAAGCAAACGCTACGCTATTAAGAATTATCGATTTTTTTCTTATTCTTACCATTATAATTTTATTTTCCCTTATATAGATATAATATAATAGTATATTATATAATTTTTTTTTTGCAATTTTATAAATTTACAGAATTTAATTTAATGCTTGCTTTTGCTAGTTGCCATTTTAAACAAAAAAAATATAAAAAGTATTTAACGCAAATTTAGGGAAATTTTTAGATTTGTAGTTATTAAATTTAAGTATATATTATTAATAATACATTTTAAGCATAAAAAAGGAATTAAAACAAAAAATATAAATGTATACGATTCATAAGCGGGAGCGTGCAAAAAAAACGGGTCAATAAGGAAAGGAAATCTTTTTTTGCAATATAATGATAGTATCTGTATCCGAGGACTGTAGAGGTAAAGTTTTAAAACTAGTAGGTCTGATGATATTTTTTCTATTTTCAAGCCTTGCTCGAATTTAAATTTTACCGTATTTTATTTTTAAATTTTGATCATTTTAAGGTCCGACGCAGATTTTCAAAATGTGTTCATTTTAGATAATAGGCTGTATTTTGTAAACTGTTTTAGAGAGAAATTAAAACAATGAGCAGGAAAAAAAAATTTGTTCGTTTTATATGATTTTCCAATAATTGATATAATTTAAATTCGTTATATTTGATCCAGCCCACGTTTTGCGAGCCAGATATACGTGTGAATTGGATTCTAGGGATTTGTATATTAAACTAAACACCAGTGGCTTATAACGACCTAGTGGTGAAGAACGAATAAAAGATGCCGATTATTTTCAATCTAATTATATGTATATACCAGTGCTAAGCTCAAATATTATTTTTTTAAACTAACCCTTTGAATGGTCAATCTTTTATTTTTGAATATTTTATTTGAAATAGATATAGTAACTGTGCTGCACACTCAAACATAGTAAAAATTTTTGATATTATTCTTAAAATGTATATATATATATATATATAACTTTTTGAGGTGATTAGAATAAAAAGGTGCAGCGGAGGATAAAAATAAAATTAACATATACACATGTAAGTTAATACAATAATCAAGGTAGATAAGGAGAAGGGAGTATCAAAATTATATAGGTATCTTACGATATTCCTCCTCACAATAGTAATTTTATGTGTAGAGAAGTTTTAGGAATGAATTTATGCCCGACAAGATAGTAATTTAGGCATAAAACAAATATTTTCAGTTTGCTATATAATTATACTATACAAATATACCAAAAGAAGGAAGAAAGCGAGGAGGCAAAAGCTTATGATAAAATGGAATGGTTTAATTTTATATTAATCATGATTTTTCGATATGATATATTTGAAAAATTGCAATATGATCTCGAAATATCTACAATCTTAAAATCTGAATTTTGGGGAAAACATTTAAATATTTTGAAATATTATATAGTATAGTTAATTATATAAGAGCTTTAAAAAATTTAATTTTTTGAAATTTAAAATTGGATGTCCAAATTGTTGGAATTAAATTTATTTGATGAACTTTATCAAGATGAAAGGTTTGCAGAGTCAAAAAAAATACTTAAAATCCAATATCAATGACCATAATATCTCTAATCATTGTTGAACGATCTGGAAGTAAAAATATATTGTTAACACTTTTAATTTCCTTAATCCCCAGAATCTTATAAAATTACGCAAAAGCAAATTTACTCATGAATAAATAAATAAAATACAGATATTAGCATTTCATCTCCAAGTGCACTTATTAATTTCCACTCAACATTCTGTAAAAAAAAGTAGGACTATGCTATGGTTTAAATCCGAAAATTTTCTGCCCAGTTGTAAAAAAAATTAACCCGCCCGCTTGCCCATGGTTTTTTAAAAAAAATTCCCTTATTAGCCCATTTAACTAAACCCGACATCCCCGCCTAATGTTTAAAAATTATTTAATTGATTGGTTTGGGGTGTTATTAAAAAGCCGGTCAATTTTTAATAACGGCCCGAATAAGGCTTTAGGTAAAATAATATTATGTAAGCCTCGAAATTTAGCAGCTAGATATCCAAACGTTTCTATCATCTATAAACAAAATCTCCAGGCTTTCATAATATTATTTTGGTTATAATCTTAATCGAGCAGCTTTTAAAAATCGACCCAAATCGGGTTTTCAACAACATCAGTTTAGCTCTTCATTTATTTTAATATATTTTACCCAAACTTACTATAAATTATGCATATGAAATAAAAACAAATATTTTTCAATAAATATAAACTCGTTTTTAAAAATATTTTAACCAGCCAACCAGCCGGTCCAATGTTCAAAATTTATAAAACGCCTAACTCTAAGTAGGATCCCTTGTTATAATGTTAGCACAGTGTATCATCTGTTTCTGACAATACCAGTTATGAAAAACTGGTTATAACATTAAAAATTAAGGTTAATCAAAAATGATATTCGTAGTCCAGTCTGCCCCAAAATCTTGATAAACTTCGACTTCAAAATATTGAATAATATATATACATTTATAAATACTTCTATTATTTGTAAAAATTGTGCAATTAATTTGGTATATTTCATAATAATTTTTAATTGAAAGTTATATTTTTATGTAGTCATTTATTCGATTTATATAACTATTTTTTAGTTACAAAAAAACAGTGACTTATTTTCAAAAATATCGTGACTTTTTTAAAAAAGTTACGGCATTGTTAAACATTATATTATATGGAACCAATTTGAGTATAATATAATTAACTTATTGATGATTTAATATATATTGATGATTTAATATATAATCGAATATAATAAATAAATTGGCCACTTATTAAAATTTAGCTATAAATTTCAAAACATTCATAATTATAATTGTATGAATTTTTATTTTTAAAGTTTCCAATTACTCAGAAATTAAAGGAAAAAAAACCGAGTTTGTTGGTAATAGTGTTGTTAAACGGCTCGATTTGAGCCGATTTTTAAAAACGGCTAACTCAATATTTTAGATTTCGCTAATAGATGTCTGTATCAACTATGAGTAAAATCTTTAGGCTTGCATAATATTTTTCTGAATAAAACATTGAGTTAGCCGTTCTTAAAAATCGGCTCAAATCGAGCCGTTTAGCAACACTAGTTGTCAAATAAAATTATCAAATGCTATTTTGAAATATATTATTTAAAAGATGTGATTTCTGGGTCCCAAAAATCGTATAATTTATCAAATAATTTTCTCAATTTGATATTTTCAATTTCATGTTTCTTTATAGGATGAGCAAAAAAAATTGCTTAGTTTTAATTAATGAGAATATTACAATCATATCATTATTATATTTTTTTATAATGCTAATATTTTATGTCTTTCATCATTACGCATCGTTTATTTTTAAAAAAACCCAGGAGAATAATTTAATTTTTGTTTGTTAATAATTGTTACCATGTTAAAATAAGGGATAAATAATGTTTCCCCAAAATAAATATACAGTCATTATGAATTCCATTTATTAATCAAGTCATCGCAGTCTTCTTTATTTTCTTCATTTTTGTAAAATGCCTCTTCAATTTCGTAATGACGTGCAACAGCGTTAATAAGAAACTCGATTGTGAAGCTACTTAGATAAATTCGGTGATCACAATTGATTTGGCAGCACAATAGTTGTGGCCAGATCCTATCACATTAGTAAAATCTTAGGGGGTAGAGAGTATTTAATTGCCTGAATTTTTGACGCAGTTGTGTCAATGAGGGGAGTATAGGTGAGGGGAGTAGTTATTTAGATTTTTTAAATTAAAATTTTCAAAGTTTTAATATTTTTTTAAAATAAAATAATTTTAATATTAATAAATAGTTGTTCGAATAAATTTAACATGACCTTTTATGTTATTATTTCTCTTAGGCGATATAGGTAGAATCATCACATAAAAAATATTCATGCATGATACCTTGTTTAGCACAAAATAAGAACTGATATATGACAAAAACACCTTCGTCAAAGACATTCAAATTTTAATTTAGAAGAAATAATAATATTTAAAATTTTTATTATTATTAATTTATTCTAAATCCACAAAAATACAAAGAAAGGATTTTATTTTTTTATATGCAATAAAAATTCTTAATTTAAACCGATATGAAACTCATTTATAGTTTGAAGGGCGGGCCAAAATGTGTGCTTGATTTTTAAAATGAGTAACCCATGATTTAGCAAATAATATTTCACAAGCCTGGAGTACTCATAGACGGCAGAATAGTTTGGACATCACTTAGCAAAATCTCTAAGCTTAGGTAATATTATTGGTCCTAAAATTTTAATTTAAAAACCGCGAACTATACTCTTTACAATAATTGAAAATAAATAGATCCATCTCAGTTCAACTCGATCAAATATATGTCAAAAATTAACGTATCTTTCCTAAAATTTAATTTAAAATTTAGTCTTTGTAAATGTTAATATTTTTAAAAAATTATTTATGGCTATAATTCATACGTTGGCGTTCGTCGATACGCCACACTTTGTTTGTCCCGCGATCTAAATGTGTATAAATTAAATAATAAAACAGTATTTTTATGAATTATAAAAACTTTGAATATAATTGACTAAATCGATTCGACACCAATCAATAATGCCATACATATTTTTTTTAAATAGATAGGCCAATTTTTGGATTTTATATCGAAGCCAACAAGATATGTTTTTATAAAAATTAAAAAGGTCGCCCTAAAATTCCCATCCTTGCAGAATACTAATAATCCTATCAAAAATAAAAATGTAATTGAATGTAGATGTATGTATAATTAATTACGAGCATATTAAAAAAATTAGGCGTCTGTTAATTATAATATAAAGCATAGCTTTAACATTTCAAAACTGCAAATTAACATATAGATAATTCATAAATACATAGTCGCTCATCTGTGTTGGGTTGAGCTATCTGACATTTTTTAAATAAAAGAGGCAAAACTAGGATTTGAAAAATACCATGCTTACATCTTTCTATCAATAAAAAAATAAGGGTGACCCTGGTATCAATTATAACTGAGGCCGAAAAAAAGTTCGAATCGAATAAAGGACAAAATTTTATGAAGATATTTTAAATTAATGACGAAATATTATTTTGACCTCGTAATTTCGAATAAGTTTTATAATTATCTATTATTCTAGCCTCTTAGAAACCTAAAATAGACCTGCTCTGTATCAAATCTCGACTTGACCTATGGAGTTCAGATTAGTTCAGTGGAGTTAGGGATGGGCTTTAAAATAATATGACCAGATATAGAGCCGAAAAATTACAAACACGAGTCAGTCATGGCTAAAAATAATTTCCGCCTAGGATTTTATATAATAGATTTAAATTGTATCAAGAACTATACGAGTTGAAAGACATATGATAGATCTTTTAAACACCATGCGCTACTCTTATTTTTGACTTGTATGATTCTTGACCATAAAATAACTAAATTCTTGACTAGCTTGAGCAAAAATAATTTTCTAAAAACCTATAGGGCCCGGCTGAAAAATAGGGAAAAAATGTACTTGGTTTTTTTACAGATTAATAATTTCCATAGTTTATTTGATTAACGAATGCATTTAAATGTTAGAAGAAGTTTAGCATTCAGGTATCTATGTGAGACCATGGTATAGCGAACCGGATTTTGTAAAAATGGCTATAAAATCTGTAAATATTAACAAAAAATATTGCCAGACACCTTAATATATAATTATTTTTATTTTCTAGCAAAAAAAACCAGGGAATATTTCATTCGCTACTTACAGTGGTCTGTAAAACCATCATGGGGTAGTGATGATCATCGCAAAAAAATGTTTTTGCAAAGAATATCGGATTATTTTAAACTTAAAATCCCTATTTTCATAATTTCTAAAAATGTTCTTCTGGTTCAGATATATTTTCAAATATTACTATTGTATTGCTTATTTATAAAATATATAGGAATAACATTTTTTCCAAAATATTAAATTAATCAAATTGAATGTTTATCAATTAGCCTATAATACTTCACTATATAATTATAAACTATATTTTTAAATATTTTTTGCACTACCCTAGTAAAATGCGGGCGCCCATGACTACTATATATATAATATTTTATAAACTAATTAGATTATATTTTTTCAAATCTAATTTAAAACTTAAATTATTTATCTTTTTTTGCACCTATAAATTTTATATAATATATTAATTTTATAAGCTAAAATTGTTTTGCATTAAAAAAACTGATGTAAAATCGAGTTGTATAATATGATATTGTATATACGTCACATTCAATATAAACATGATGAATCTATAAATATATACCATATATTTATGTATAATGTAAATAAGTCTACTAAAATAGTTTAAATGATTTATATCAGAAGCTATATTGATACATCATAGTTCATAAATTAGTATGATTAAAGTGAATATTTTATACTATGAAAACAATTCTTATCTTATAAATATGTTAAATTACCGTAATATTTTTTTCATTATCTTCGAAAACATTTTTATATTTACAATAATCCATCAATTGGTAATATCTATATTATTGTTTAAGAAACTTTGTCATTGTGCATATTGTTCTAATTAATAGTACCCAAAATTATTGTAATACTTTTAGAATGAAATTTAAATATATCTTTCATTATTTAATAGAAAGAAATAGATATTTTTTTTAATAGAAAATGTTAATCTAATTAAATATGAAATTAGTCATGTCAATTTTTGTCAAAAATGGTCTTACTTACCCACCCGACAAGCTCACAATACTAATAGTTATTCATATAATATAAAACTCAAATACATGATAGGGGGTTTAAGATTTCAATTGATATATTATTATAAAAACTCTAAATTAAATTCATCATGGAACAAAGGTTTCGACATCTATTAGCGAAATCTCGAGGCTTAGGCAATATTTTTCTGGCTAAAATATTGAGTTAACCGTTTTTAAAAATCGGCTCAAATAGAGTTTTGCAACACTAATCATAAACATATATTTTGAGTATAAAATTTTAAAAGTTGACGTATTTGAAATTTTTTCTATTATATGATAAATATCTATTATAGGATTAAGTTTTATAATAAATAGGATTAGACTCATGTGTCCCGTGATTAGCGGTACCCAGTCTCCCCTAATAAAAGAAAATACTATCATTTATATCTAATAAATAAAGTGGAAAAATATTTAAATAAAGCAGATAGTTTTCACACTTAATGCAGTAAAAATAAATTCCTTAGACTATCATTTTTTATTTGATGATCAAAAAAAAATATGTTAAAATAAGAAATAAATTGTATATTATTATAGACAATAATATTTGCATTTATCATACAGTAGGGTACCCCGGGGTAAGTTGGTAAACTTTGGTTCAAACCTCAATACATTCAATTCCATAAAACTAATCTAGATAAATATAACATTACGGATCCTAAAAAAAGTGTAGAATATTTAATATAGTTAATATATTTTTTATAGACATTATTTTTGTTTTTTATTTATTAGACAAAATCTGGTCTGAGCACATTGTTCATTGTTGATTTATCCATAAAATAAAGGTCTAATATATAATCTTTAAAAGTAAAAATTGCAATAAGATTCGAGAATATTAAATAAACAAGTATAAATATTAATTTAAAAAACACATCATTTTAAGGATACATATGAGCTCTTTCTTTCTCATAATCCTCAGCGCAAAAGATTTTACGATCTTTTTCCTTCAATTATAATTTCGAATAAAACTAAATATATATATTTAAAAAAGAAGCTAAAATGACAATGGACTAAAGTACCTAAGACCAACTACAACCGCGTCTTCCAACTTTATAAATATAATTCAGCATCATGTTAAGGTTTATTTTTTAAGGTGCCAGATTATAAAGTAGGTTAAAATTTGCCTAAAATTATTTATTAAGGATTTTTAAAGTTTATTTATTAATTTAAAAGGAAATGTTTGTAATTAATTTTGTTATTTTTGGAATGCTAAAACACATTTTCCCCTGTAACCAATAATTTAGTGCATAATTCGCTATATTAGGGTTGATTTTTCACTGTTATACAAAAATATCTTATATTGGAGTGTACTGAAATAACCCTGTATTGAACATGCCCCGGCCTTCTACTATATAAGAAATTTTATAATTGCATGATTAGTTTATCTAAAATTTGATCTAACTTTAAACTCAATTTTTCCCAAAATCCTGGGGACTAAATATTTAAAAAAACTTGGCCTAATAAAAATAGATGTATTTATAAGTCTAAACTAAAAAAATATACAGATTCAAAAAATTAAAGAACTTAAAATTAAAATATCTAAGATACACAACAACGACATATATAATTATTATAATAAAATTCTCAATTTATTGCATGTAATCAAGCATAATTTTCCAATTTTTAAATGTACAATCACCATTTAATTTATATATAATTTTATATTCTGTGACTACGAGTTATAAAAAAAATCGATAATATATTATATTTATTTAGACTCTCTGTGTATATCATATAATGAAAAAATAATAATTTATAGGCTCCTTTATTGTAAACAAATGCTTAATCTAATATATATAATATATATTCGAGATTTTCAACGTTATTTTTATAAAAATGCACTGATAGTTCTAACTAAAAATCCAATCCTTAAGTATTGGCTTTATAGATTTCATAAAATTTTCATAAAAAAATCTGGGCAGAATTTTTAAAATTAGTTTTTTAATTTTTTTTAAATATTCATTTAAATTAGGCACCCAACGTTGTCACGCCACCGGTTAAAATATATATTACTTCTAGTAATTTTAGTTGTAACAATGTATTTTATATTTAAAAGGGCTAATAATATATCCTATTCTATTTTTTAAAACTATTTTATTTTGTTAAATAAGCTAATATGCAATTAATTCCATCAAATATATGTTCATTAAAAAAAACCATATGTAATTATTATGTATTTAAAAATATTTATAAATCCTAAAAGTAAAAATCTTCTTGATATAATGCTTGAGGAAAAAAATAAATAAAAGCAAAAGTGATCGGCGAAGAGATCATTTTACCCCCTTTTATTATATTGAAGATTAAATAAATCAAATTATTAGTGTATATATAATATACCGCTGAGATTATGCACGGCCCGGCCTGTATAAAATATTTTTCGGGTTGGGATGGCACGGAATATTTTAAAAATATTCTAATCCTTGTATAACGGAAAATGATGATTTTTCTTTCAAAAACTTCGGGTCAGGCCAAAATTATTACGGGTCAGCCAGAAAATAAAAAATCTTCCCGGGCCGGTTTGAGCCGAGCTGATCTCTAATATACCAACAAAAGCAGATGAACAAAGTATATCTAATATTTTTTTTAAAACATGCCATAAGGTTTCTTAGGGAATCAGAAAAAAAACACGAATAACTAATAAAAAAGAAGAAAATTATAAGATTTCTGGGGTTTACAATCAAAAAGAGGAAAAACATTATAAACGACAAACGAGAATGTTATAAAATGGTGGGTTATGATGTAAATAATTAGGGCGGTGGCTTGCAAATCTGAATTCTTGAATAATCGATTAAATTAAAATATCGAGTGGAACTATAAAATAGGGGTGGATAGGGATAAAATTCAGACTTCTTTTTCTTTAAATTTCCTAGATATAATATTTAAAATTTATCTGACAAGATTTTTTTTAGATAATTATTTTTAGATTTTTATAAATGTAAATTTGATAAATAATTCATCTATTAAATTTTCGAAAAAATTGAATTTATATTCGTCTTTAACATTTTCTACCAAATCATTAACGATAATAAATTATTCATTCAGTAACATAGTATAACCGTTTATGGCATAACGGGCTCAGACGCATAACCAATTGCGGGGGGGGGGCATCGCAAATTTTCTTGTTCTCGTAACTATCATTTTAAGCAATAAAAATTTCCACCATACACATCCCCTACCTCCCTCTCCCCCAAAAATGTAGAGAATATGTCATTATAAGGAAGAAAGTGAAAGGAATAAACTTTTTAAATTCAAATTTTTTTTAAAAAAGGATTTATATTTTAAAAAAAAAGAAAACCCAAAATTATTTTTATAAAAATCGAATACAATTTGGCCTAAAGATTTACAATAAAATTCATCTAATAGACCCCCCCCCCCCCACCCTTTGGCAAAATCCTCGATATGCCTACGTTTGCTTTTAACATTTAGAGCCTATTATTAAATTCGAACCTTCCTATGAGTATATGCCTAAATCAAGAAGTGCATACATAGCTAAATGATAATAGCTAGCGGTGCCATTAGCTATAAGAGGACTATACTTTATATTTAATGCAAAATAATAATTTTATAAATATAAATGATTCTTTACCTTTAGTTTCAATAAATAAGAAATCTTTGTTGCGGTTGAATCATATAAAAATGGATAACATGGAAAAGATAGGGAGTTGAGTTATGTTTTACTTATTAGAATTTTTTTAGATATAGTGGGAGAATTGTCTAAGCAAAAAAAAAATTATGAAAAAATAACAAAATATCAGCAAGATATCATCCATCGATTAAAACATATATTATAGGAAAATACCACTTTGATATAATATGGAATAAATATCGACCAATTTTTTTAAGCATTATATAAAGATTTATTGATTTCTCAAGCAATCAATAAATTCAGACTTCGAATTTTTTTTTACCGATTTTTAAATATTACAATATTAACTACTTTTTATATAGGTGTATATCCCGCTGATCATATCAAAAGAAACAATCTGCGAAGATAGAGATTGCTTTTAATTTAATTAAGCGCAATAATGTTCATTATTATGAAAATATCGTTTTTCTAAATTCGGATTTTGAAAAATGTTAAAAATAAGTTCCCGAATTGCAAATAAATTAATGATCACATATTAGAATAACCTGCAAGTCTAAGTGCCGACATTCTCTGAAATTCAGGTTCATCCAACCATTTCGACATACGTCTAAAGGTTTCTCTCCCAGATTTAAGTTTGCTCCAAGGTTTAGGGTTCCTCAAAAGGTCACTTAGAGTTCCCTGACTTCTGCACAATACTCTCTGGGCGAAAACAGCCTGGGGAATGCTATACCTTTTAAGTTCGCTAGATATCTTTTGAGCCAAATCCTTTGTATTAATCTCTTCCATTTCCTCGCCACCACTTCCTGACGTGGAACCCATATTATTATTATTGAGGTCCGAAATGGTTTTCTGATCTGAGAGATTAATGATTGATGCACATTTTGAGTCAGGCAACAATATGGGAGCAGAGCTTAGAGTCATGGGGGACATACTTATGATCCCATCTTCTTCGACGATTCCTATAGTGGAGCTATTGTTAGCTTTATGCTTTGATTTAGAGGTTTTAGTCACTCCTTGGTTGTGTGATTTAACGTTCGTTGTATTTTTCGATTTGTATTTATTAGTATTCGAATTAGCACTTGAACTGTTTTTATCCTCTTTAGACGGAGTGTTGTTGTTCACGAAATTATTAACAGTTGTGATTGGAGGTGGTAAGGTGGGAGTTGAACAAGGTGAGCACCCACCGGAAGAGTTAAGCGAAGAATTTTCTAGTATCAAGGGTTGAGAAAAGTGTTCTGCATCCTTATTATCGCTGTTTATCATGTGCTGACCGAATATATTGTCATCTGTATGCATTTTTGACGATTCTATGTTATCATTTAAAATATGGGTAAAGTGGGTAGAATCGGTGGTTAGAATGGAAAAATTATTTCCCAGTAGGTGATTTTTTTTAGAGTGTTTATTAGATTCCATAAGATCGTTCTTGATGACGACTATGTTGGGTAACTTACCGTTGATGTCAAAATTATTGTGAAAAGATGTGATAGTGTTTTCCTCTGATCTATATATGTCCATCAAATGGTCAGGTATATTTAATGATTGACTAACGTTGTTTAATCGTGCATAAAATTGTTGTGGTATCATTGAATTTGTTTGGATTATATTTGATTGTGCGAAAGTGTTTGGTTGGTAATTTCCGACATTTATTGCATTTTTGTTGTTTAGGTTTTCTTTAGATTGAGATGTCCTATTAACCTTTGGTTTTTCGTAAGATAATTTTGATTGGTTAGGATAAGTGGAGGTTCCATGATGATGAATTACGATGTTACTATTTCCAGCTCCCAATATATTGTAGTTGTCTAAAGCATTGTTTTCAATATTTTTGGATAATATGTCACCACGATTGTCCATAAGGAAAGAGTTGGTGTTATGATTCGATAGAATATCATCAAGTGTAAGAATATTCTGTGATAAATTTTGATTTGGAATCTGTTCGATTTCCTGAGCCATCAATAACAACTTTTGCGTGTCATGATCCTGGCGTAAAAGATTCTTTTGTTCGGTCTTAATATGGCTCATACCCGTTGTCAAATTATTTTCTAAATTTCGAAGTTGTAAATGATGTTGTATATAATTGAAATGATCAATTTCTAAAGCTGTTTGCAGTTCCGTGCTTGCATTGGACTGCGAAGAAATATTGTTTAAGTTGTTATTTATAAAATTTATGCAGGAATCATTCGACAGAAAAGATAACGTAGAATTTTTAGAATTTGTATTGGATAAATTATTCGTTGGGTTTATATTGTAATTTAGATTCAAACCGAGTGCAGCCAGCTTTTCGTATTGGTAAGAATCCATTATGTTCAAAGCTGATAAGTTATTATTGTTCAGTAACTGGTATGTGGAAGTAACCATTTGATTTTGAAAACTATCTATAAGATTTGATGTTAATGCGTCATTATCCGATGTATCCTGAATATTTGATCCTAAATAATTGGGTATATTGGTTGGATCATAAATTTCATTTTTGATGCTATTCGCTATAAAATTCTCCATTTCTTTTTTACTTTCGTTGTCGTTAATAGTGAAAATATCGGATCTTAACACATTTTGGAGGTGTTGAATCTGATTTGATAGTACTGGGTTCGTCAAATTACGGATGTTAACTTTCTCGTTATTCATATCAGCTTGCATGAGCAAAGCCTCCAGTTTTATTGAATGAAGCTGTTTCTTTTCGTTTTCAACGTTTGAACTTCCGGAATAAGGATAATTGTAAAACGATTGGTGCGTAAGCGGGGAGTAATTCGATCTTTGGTTATTATTTTCTAGTAACACCATGTGGTGATTCTGTTGTTGCTGATCATGCAATTGTTGATGATGTTGGTGTTGCAAATGTTCGTGAGAGATCATAGAGGACGACAGATCGTTGGATTCGTTTTGATTGAAAAACTTTTCCGTTACCGTTGAAAGTATAGATGGTAAAGGTTGAAGGGGGGTAAGGGTAGCATAAGTTGCTAAATGGTTGTTATTGGATTCATTGTCGAATGAAGAAGAATGGTTCATCCCTATCATGCCACTTTCCAGGGAGGATAATAAAATATGATTATTGTAATTGTTAAGATTGTGATCGATCATGCTGAGAGGGAAAATGGAGGAGGATGAGAGAAGCATATCAAGAGGGGGAGTTATGTCGTTTCGCAGATAATCCTTGGTAGATATATTAGTGGCATTTTTATCTTTATTATCTATGTTCATAGTACAGGACGAATCGAGTAGCAACGTTTTTATATTGGTCATATTGTTGAAATCCAGACAATTTGCGTTATTTTTTTGAATAACATTTTCGGAGTTTTCGTCGGTAATTGACATTACGGCTTCTTCCAAAAAATTGGTCATCATAGAAAGTGTAGAAGCGGGGCTAGTTCGCTTGCTGACATTTATATTGGGATTCATTATCTCGTTGATAGAATTAGACACAAAATTGATTCGATTGTTAATATTGTTGAGTTGATTGACATTGATAGTGGCATGGGGAATAGTTGAACTCGCGCCCTGGGATTTGTTGGAGTTCACCCCCAAAGGAGAAGTAAATTTTGATAAAGGGGCCAGAAATGAAAAATCTCGGTTTTGTGAGTTTAAAGTGATAGTTTTGTTGGAAGGGTCGGGATTGGTGTATTTGAAAAATGAGGGTAAAGTTGTGGAAAGAGACGATACTGAAATATTTTCGTTACTATGCATATCCATATTATTTTTAATTTGAGTATCTATGTTATTTTGATTGTAATAATCTCTTGAAGAAGAGAACCTCTTGATAGAAAGCACTGGAATCTTATCTATACCCTGTTTGTAATTAAGGGTCACTTGATGATGGTCTGCTATGTTATTGCTGATCGACTGCGGAAGGCAAGAATAGGTATTGTAAGATGGTTTTGAGGATGATGTTCCTTCTTCCATTAACGCCTATAATTTATAGTATATAGGTAAAATTAGAATAAGGGTTTAAATTTTTTTATAAATTACCAAAGCTTATAGGATATCATCATTGTGTATAATTTTTTTAGAAATATAGTTTTTTTAGTACCTTAGTATCATTTATTTTATTAAAAATTTTGAATTTACATTATGTTCATATCATTTTATACATTAAAGTATAAAATATTTAAAATTTTTTTATATATATATTTTAAAATCCTTTTAGCATTTATATTGAATTTGTAGTACATCCATCCCACTGTATAAATAAACGTATAAAAAATAATAATAAAAAACAAAATATTGAGAATCGTATATATTTTTTAATCAATTTTCATATTTTTATTTATTATTTATTTCGGCATATTTTTTATTATTATATTTAAATAAAAAACGAAATGAAATTATATTTTGAAAGTATTTCATTATATATAAAATAAAATTAAATTCGTTATATTATAATAATATTTTTTCCAAATAACGGTTTTAAAAAAAAATTAGAATAAATATTATTATTAATAATCTTTCATAATAATAAATAATTATACGGCATCAATAGATAATTATTTATTTTGTTTTTTATTAATTAAGTGATGGCTCGTCAGCCTATTTTCTATTATAGCAAATCTTTTTTTTGAGCTCTTTAAAAAATATGGCTTTTAAGTAGTCTAGTTACTCCTAGATGGTTTTTTAATATTTAGACCGTTTTCAAAATATGAAGTTTGGTGAGAATTTTGTTTAATTGTTTATAATTATTTTATTAATATTATACTTCTAAAGGATAATCGCATCTTTAACAAAAGAATATAAATAAATTATATACAACCAAAGGACATGATATCACAGGAATTATTCTTATTTTTTTAGACAAAAATCTTAGCCTGATACAGATTTTAAAATTTTTATAAACTAAATATCGCCTTTATCAACCCTGGGAACTCTTTTTTAAAATAATCATATAAATGTATTCTCCTGTATAAAGACAAACCTGCTTCTAATGCAAAGGGAAATTGATTGATATGTATCGTTCGTTACATAAAAATCTGTGAAGCAAAATTTGCAATAAAAAAAACGTATAAAAAAAAGTAACGCGGAGACAATAAAGGTGTTTAAAAAAAAGGTTTTGTACAAATAAAATAACATAATCATTTTACTAGGCAGATGAGATTCTTATCGAAGTGTCTATAAAGATGTATAATATCTTCTTTAAACATATTTTTCTTAAAATAATATACTTATCTAATTTTTATACTAAAACTTTCTGAATATTTTATTTAAAATTGTATATTAATTTCGATAAATAAATTAAGAAATAAATAAATATATATACAAATACATAATAGTAACACAGCTGAGGCAGCTGTGGTATATTTTATACCAATATTAATTATTTTTTGATTTTCATTCTTATATTTTTCATTTATTATTATTTATATTATTTTCTTAATAATATTATATAACATTTTATAATAATTAAAAAACTAAAAAACCACATTACTAAAAATGTAGGAAAAGGAGGAAAATCTGCTTATTATTAATTAAGGAATGAAATAATAAACCTAATTATCAATTTAATTATTATTATTATAGTTGATATTAAAAATATATTTACGGTTCATGACAGGGAAGCTGATTCCAGCTCTATAGCATAACACTCTCTACTACATGTTTCAACAATTTTCCCCTTCAGTATGATAGAAAATCATTTATAATACCTTTAGCGCACAGAAAAATCCACTCGCACAAATATTCATTTGCACTCCTCCATTAATTTGAGGTCTGTAACTTTAAAAATTTGGTTTGCCTTCCTATGCCGTGAGGTTATGGGAGTGTCCTGTCACACTTCTGAATACACTCCCCCTCCCCCTAGTTGAAAGGATCAGAGATCTTCCCAATTGCTATTGGATTTGGATTCAACTTTTTAGTTTAGGAAGCAATGAAAATATTGAATTTTTTTGGTAATAAACCAAAAAAAATATATATAAAATAACAGGTTGCCAAATTTTCATTTTTAAATATATTTGTCCAATCAAAAGTTGTTTTAAATTTTAATAGGCGTTTTAAAAAAAATAAATATAAAATAAAATAACCAGAATTTTTTTAAATTTATATAATTAAAAAATAAAAATGCGCTAATAATTTCCTATTTCGTTATATTTATTTTTTTAAATCCTAAATTTCGTATTAAAAATAAAAATTGTAAATGGCATGTCTTAATTAATGAGAATCCAATGGCGTATTTAATTTTTTGAGAATTTATGGAGAGTTACAAGAACGAAGAATATATATATAAATAACCTTAAAAAAATTATTTCTTACAAGTGGTGAGCGACAAAAAAATTATTATATCAAAATCAGGGCATCGTCCCCGAATCTTCCAATGGAGGATTAAATTTCATTTATAAAGATATTGAAAATAAATTAGAGCATGTCCTTGTCTTGATCGTCTCTCCAAGCGCTCTTGTTCAAAATCAAAATTTTTAAGTTTTGTTTTTAAAATATATTTAAAATAGAAATCTTTATAACATTCCATTAATATTCTCCGGGAAAACCTTTTTAGTAATTCCACAAACGTTATCCTGGTTATATTTTTATTTGCATAGTTACAGTAATTGCAACGCTCATTTTAGTCAATATATTGGCAATTAATTGATTTTTCTTAAAGCATAGTAACTTATAGTGTTTACCATTTGGCAATATAAGAGAAAATATTATGAAATCGCGCCATAACACGTTATCACTTTCCATTCTTAATCAATTTTATATGCATTTATAAGGGTTAAGAAATTCAAATATTTTTATTCATTTTTTAGGCAAATATCTAAGATTAATCTCCGAATTAGAGATAAAATCCGTTAATTATTATTTAAGTTTACCAGATATCATATTAAGAAAAATGCGACGGTATCATCTGGATTCGTAATCAACCGAATAAATACATAATTTATAAAAAAGAATGGCATTGAAAAGAAGGGAGATCAAGATCATCGATATTCTCAACTAATTAATTCAATGCTTAATTAATGTGTAACAATAAATAATGACGATATATTACTTCTAAAATTTAATAAAATGTATTGATTATTTTCAAACTATTTTTACTATATTATAAATCAATAATGTAAAATATTTCTTAAAAATCAATTTTTATTTTAGAAATAAAATTTTGTAAAAAAAATAAAAACCAAATTTTGAGTATTATAATTATATAAAATAGATAATTATGACATTTTTTACAACAATTCTTTTTTAACTCGTCAGAAAATCCTTAATTATATGGAATTCACTAAAACACGGTAAAAAAATTTTTTTTTAACGAATTAATATAACCCGTCCTTAATATTTTGCAATGGGCCAGAATTTTAAAACGCTAAGACCGGTCAACTAATTATATCTAAACAGCCCTCTGTTTTAGTCCTCTAAATAGCTTCCACTATACCGCCTAAAAAGAGAGAAACTATTATGAATTACCACGACTTTGTTTTATTTATAATAAAAGGCAAATTTAAAACAAATTAAAATGGGTGTCAAAGCTATAAGACTGAATATCCTAGGCTAAACAGAAATAAGTTTTAAAAAATGAGCCATTACACGGCCTAAAAGGTAAAACTGGAAAATTTTAAGGAACCGAAATCAAGATGCTAAAAGTGGCAGATATATATATTTTTACAATATTTATTTTTAGAAAGAATTGATATTAGAATTCATTATATTTTTTTTTGTTTTATCATTTCCTTGATTTTATAATCAAGGAGCTATTTTTTTAAAAAAAAATCTAAATTATAACCACATGTTTGATAATAATATATAATTGTAAAAATTACAAAATTAGATTAAAAGATATTTTAGCTTCTTTCAATTTAAAATTTTTAGTGATCCTTTGAATAAAATTATTAATAAGAGGCAGAGAATGAATGTAAAATGCCTAAAATATTATTAATATAATATTTTTTTTGAGTGTTAAAATAAATTTTAAAAAAATTGACTTTTTAGAATTCCGACCATAAATAAATGTTTCAGTATAAGATTTCGCGTTCAGGATAAATAAATATTATTTTTTTAAACATTCCCTGAATCTCTTATAAATCAAATAATTTCAAATTTAAGGCTAAAATAAAATCTATTTTACATGAATATATATTCATTAATATAAATAGCTCGAGTCGTTTTTTTTATTATTTTATCATTAAAAATTTATAAATCGACCCCCATCTGCCATTTAAAATGAAACCTTATCACAAATACATTATATAATTATAACGTGAAACATATTATTATAATGATTATTATTTGGGGATGTTCGGTATGATGACCTGAATTAACACCATCAATTGAAACATTCCCCAAATTATCAATAATAAATCTGTATTCAATTGAAGCGGGCAATTTTTTATTATTAAAATATCATCTATCAAAAGTTACACGCTTCGAATTGCATAATTTATTTTAAAGAGTTATAAATTCAGCGGCAGTGAGGAAAGGTAGTTTGTACTAGAGTGAGGGCAGTGGCGTATCCAGGATTTTCTTATAGGGGGGGAAAAATTTTTGGGGGCTTCGCCCCCAAACCCCTTTTACCTGGCCTTCGGCCGGGTCTTATTTAGCTATTCTATAAAATTATTGATAATTTAATAATAATTATATTTCTATTTTTAACTATTATTTACTAATTCGTGCTTATGGATAGGATATTACAAGCCTCTTTTTTATTATTTCAAGTTAGGTATATTATATTTAATAAAGTTTTTTTAAATATAAAGTTGAAATAAAGTGTAATGTCATTTTTTTTATAAAATTTGCTTTAAAAACTAGCCTCAGCTTAAATTCTCATACAATATAAGTAGAATATAATTTTTTTATTGAAAATACTAATAGTAGTGTGTTTAAAATATTGACTAGAAAATAATTAAATTAACAAGTTTTTTTAACTTTTTATCAAATACAAGATTTTTAATTATTTCGTTTGTCGTTGGAACCAAATCTCTGTTTATATTTAACAGAGCTAACCCATTTAGCCGAGATTCACTCAAGTTGGAAATCCTTTCATTCGTACATGTTGTAATAGGCAAACATGCAAGAATATAAAACAACTTCGAAATATTAGGAAATTGAACTAAGGTTTCTTTACACCGATTGAGCGCATCAATAGCAAAAATAGCTAAACGTATAAATATTTATACCACAATTCGAATTCAC